GTTATTTAAAAAATTGTACAGTTAAATATTTATAATATTCTGAATCAGTAAAGTTATTAAATTTTAAATTAAATTAATAATAATTATTTAAAATACTAACATGAAATTATTATATTGTTCTTATGTTTTCCCTTCTGCTTATATTCCAAATACATAAATATTAAAACATAATGTGTAATGTATAACAAATCAAGTAAAACATTCTTAAAGTCAACCAATATTTTTACGATGTATGTTTTACTATCATATTTATTCAATTAATAATTTATTAATTTAATTAAATGCCATATATTTTCTTTTGAAACAAATAACTTTTCATGAACTTATGTGAACTTTTTCGCTGCGTGTAGATAAAACGAAGATGTTGCAGATGCGGGACTAGGGAGGCTAGGATCGGTGAAGGGGGGAAAAGGACCTTTTTGGGGAGCGAAAGGAGGCGACAGGAGGCGTTCAGGTGAACGTCGGCACTGACAATGCCACGTCTTCGTCTTCGTCTGCGTCTCGCCCTCGTCTTCATCGCCATCGTAGTTGCATTTCGTGGCTGTTGCACTAAAACAAAGGAGGCGGCCAGGACAATGGCAATGGCAGGATAAGCAACAGCCAGCTACAACCAGCAACTGCACAAAAGGACCAACCAGGACCCCCAAACGAGGACCAAACGAGGAGGGGGTTACCCAACGGGGATACACTTAACCCGCAGTTGAAGTCTGGACCTCACTGAAATTCGATAATGCAACTATCTTAATTTCACATCTATAATTGATAGACCATTAAACCCTATTGCACATATTATTGTTTGCTTCCTTTCGCAAAAACAACTACAGTTTATGTGACATTTTATAATCATTTTTAAAGGCCGACTTTAAAAGTAAAAACTTCATTATTTAGAATAATTCATTTGGGATAATAAATAAATAAATATATTAAATTTAGCAAGGAGATTTATATTTTGTGGGTTTTTTGATTATAATATTCGAAATTTAAATGTTAACCTCTTTAGGCCTATAAAAATAGGGGGATTCCGGAAATAAATAAGCTAATAAATAAATAGAAAATATTATCATAAAACCCTTTGGTGATTAAATTTCACAAACTGGGGCTTTAAAATTGCGAAATTCATTTTTTTTATTAAAAATCTTTTTGCATCGATACGTTTCTTTGCCTTTGATTTACTACACTCACTTTGGCTCAGTTTGAATAGTAATTTTGCTTATTGAAAAATAGACTCCACAGGGGGAAGGCAAAGGCAAAAGTTCAGGGACAAGTGATGGGCCCATACGTTTAGATATATTTGGAAATTAATGTTTTCATTTTTGTGAAAGCCTCGAAAAATACAAGTATTTTGCTTATTGAAGAACAGATTCCACAGGGGATACAAAAGTTCATGGACATGTGTGTGTCATAAGGGCAGCAGAAAAATAATATATGTAAAAATATAAAAAAAAAACGGAAGGAAAGAAGAAAAGGGAAATGCGTGGTAGTCGAAGGCGAAACTATATAATAAACTTGATGGCGGACGCTTAGCAGACTGCTCTTGATTTAAATGAGACCTTAATGGCTCATGGAGGGGACTGTCAGTTTGAAGGGGGGTGAAAGGGGGCTATCAACCCCCCCGAAAGACTGAGGATGAATTCATTGCAGCTGCTGCTGCTGCTGCGGCGTCGTCGTTTCGCATAAATGCAGAAAGTTTCCTCCAAGGCAGCCTTGGCTGCACTTTTTGTGCCGCATGCCCCCTCTATCAAACTGGCAACTTTTCGCGACGCAACGCAGCGCGGCCCACCTGCATGCAACAGAGTTGCAGCTTTTGGCTCGCTGAGTGCAATTTTTTAATGACAACTTTTTGGCGGGGGGCTGAGTGAGTGCGGTGGTCGAAAATCAACTTGATGCTGCTCGACGATGCGCGAACCGAGCGAAGTGAGTGCAAAGGGCTTAGAACTGCCAGCGAAAGGCAGCAAAAATAGGGAAAACCAGGCGAAAAGCACCAGCAACAACAACAACAACAAGAACAGCAGGGGGAAAACCGTTCAAGTGAGCAGCCATAAGAGATTTCCAGCCCACCTCCCCTTCACCGCCGCCGCCAAAAACAGCCAAGGAATTCGAATCCGAGTGGCAAGTCAGAGCAAAAGTAAAGCAAAGTCAGCAAAGTGCAACGCGCAGGGAAAACAACAACCTGAAAGCGATGCACAGAGAGAAAAACTGTGCTGGGAGTATGTAATGAATTCAGAAACAATTCTAAGCAAATAGAGTCTTTAATTTAATTTTATTTTAATTTTAAAATTTATTTTTAAATATTATGATGTTAAAGTTTAAATGGAACCATTGATGATCTAACTTTGCATTTATAAAAGACTATTTAAAGTTAAAAATGATTTTTTTTTCATTTAATAATTATAATTGATTTAATTAGAAATAAGAATAAGAATTGATCATAATCTACCATAATAACATAATTTTAAATATAAAAATTATTATTTTGATAAATAATGAAAATATAATAAACCATTTAATTTACAAAAAGACATTTTTTTAATAATTTCTAGTTCTAATATATACTTCTTTGAATTTTCCCTCTGTTTGAAGGTGGCGAAAAGGAAAGGAAATGAAAGGATGGGATAGGAAACCCCTTTTTTGGGGGCGCGGTGACACACTGGCCGAGTTCGAGTTCGAATGGCTCGAGACTCGAGTATCTGGAGTTGAAGTTGAGGGAATGCCAGCTGAATCAGAACCTGAATCTTCATCTTCATCCGCATCTGAACCTCCATCTGCATCTGCGGCTGCCATCTTAATTTGCATGCGCTAGCTGGCGGTGCGTGTGTAATTTATTTGTCGCGCGAAATTCCCTTGAACTTGTCCGTTGGCAGCATCGGCAGAAGGCAGCAGGCAGCGTACATGCAACATGCAACATGAGCAGCAGCAGCAGCAAAAGGACTCCTCGTGTTTTAGGTCCTCGTGCCTCGTCTCCAGTTGCAGTTGCCACGCTGCTAGCCTCTCGGCCGCAACTGTCGCTCGGCGGAGTCCACAACCAAATGGAATCCACAGGGGACTCTGCAAGCGATGCCCCGCCCCTTCGATAACCAAATGGGCGAACCTGAGTAGTCGTAGTCTTCTTGATAGGCCCCATGATCTGTATTCTACAACGAACTCTCATATTTTATGTTCGAAAAGGGTTACTCAGCTAATTGAAAATATATCTACATAGGTTAAAAACAAGCAATTTAAAAAAAATAATAATATAGTAATACTATAATAGTAATATAATAAAAATATTATAATAATATAATACAAATTTAATAATAATTTAATAATACTTACATTGCACAAATATTACAACTAGACGTCGGATTTTATACATATGTAGTTTTCTTGGTTTAAAAATGTTTTTATAAAATCATAAGTACTTATTAAATAAAAATCTTACTTCGGTTTTGTGACTGATAAAAAAATAAATTAAATAAAACCAAACCAAAGAATATCATAATAAAATACAAAAAAACAATATTTAATATTTATTTATTTATTTATTTAAGAAGGGCGAAATAGTTTTAACCGCAAAATAACGAAGAATGCTAGTGCAAAAAAGTGAAATTAAAATCAGCAAAAGAATATCATAATAAAGTATACAAAATAAACAACAAAGTGCAGGTAGCTCTGCAAAGCTCGCAAAAGAACGGTTATTTGTTTACTCGCGGCTGAAGCAAAAGAAATGAAATGCAGGTGAGAGAGATGAAGAGAGAGAGAGAGAGCTCTCCCAAACAAAAATGATTATCAGCGTTATCAGCTTAAATTTGGATACACACCTGATTTTAGGTAAGTGAAACGTTTAGTGTAGAGCATTAAAAGCTGTGAATTAAAAGTAAAAGAGAGAACATTTACAGTCACAGAATCTATGCAAATGAAAAAAACAAACAGGGGCGTGCGAAGGGGGTATGTTTTGTTAGCTAAAATGATAAATTATTTTTTATATTATTGGTTATCAAGGATTTCATCAGAAACCATATAATTCTCAATATCTTAGCTGTTTAAAAATAAACAAAAATGTGTTACTAGGACAACCCCCCCTTTCCTTTTTGACTTGTTTGCTAATCCTTTAACTAAAACCATAATGTGTTTAGTGCTTTTAGGGTGGGTTAACCCCTTCGTCTATCGAACTTTTGCTCATCTCCCGTGGACTCGCGGTCCACAGTTTGGGATCCACAGAGGTCAGTTCGCGCCTGCGCCTCCAGCGGAAGTGCCACACGAAGTGGGGTTAGGTTGCCCCGAGCGGGAAACGGAAGTGGAGCAACAGAGCCGAGGGCACACACACACACGGCCCTCGTGTGCGTGCGAAAGGTGAGCGTGCGTGTGTGTGCGTGGAGCCGAGAGGACCAAAGACGAAACGAAGCGAAACGAATCGTTGGCCGAGTTTCGAGCTTCGAGCCTCTTCGACTCACTCGGCGATTCAGTTTCGTTTAGGTTATCGAACGCAGCGGTTGGTGCCACGCGCGACTGAGGACGGTTAATCAAAGGATTTGACTCGATTCGATTCGTTTCGTTTCGGATCGCCTTCGAACTGTGTGAGAACTGCAAGCTCAAATCTCTGAAATCACTGAATCTGGAATCTCTGAACCGAAAAACTTGAGAGAATCAAGGGAGTTATCGTCGCGATCGCGATCGCTGATAGCAATTGTGGCTGGCCCCCCTCGCTACCCCGCCCCCTCGTAACCCCCACCCCTCGCCGACGGTGACTCGAAAATAAACCCCTTCACCCCCCCGGAGCGAAATTCAAAACGCGACGCGTCGCGAAACGCGTGCCGTCGCCGCCAATTGCATCTGTTGTTTGTTTGTTGTTTTTTTCGGTTGAGTGTGTGAAAAGAGAAGTGTGCCGCTTTTTTTTCGGGGGTTCTCCTCAATTGGCAACAAAAACACGAAAACGAATACGAAAAAGAAAACAAAGAAGTACAAGTGAAGCGTAAACAATGAAAAGTGAGACGGCTCGGCTGGCGGAAAAGTGAATTCCAGTTGAGCGACGGGCGCAAAGCCTAGCATACTTTTGGGCCTGCCCCAATAACTCAAAACGTAAGTGTCCTGTGTGTATGGGTGTGTGTGCTGTCCGTCTATGAGTGTGTGTGTGTTTTGTGTGTGTGAGAGGATGAGCCTCTTAAAGTCCTCAGGTCCTAACCCAATTAAAAGGGAAATAGAAATAAAAACAAAGCACCAAAAAGGCAAAATACTATAAATCATTTAAAAATGTATTCTATAAATTACAAAAAAAATCTAAATTTCTAAATAAATAAATAAATATAAAAGGATACAAAAAGGCAAAATTGTTATTAAAGTGAAATATAAAAAATTCTTAGGTTTTGTTTTAATTACTAAACGTAATAAATTAATTGCGAAACACTTATTATACCTCAGCTGTTTAGACTTCCATGGATATAAAATAATAATCAAAAATGTAATTCATGTTAGCATCGTGTCACACAAAAAAAAGTGAAAACAATTTTAAAGTCCTCAAATGTGCTAGAAAAATGAAATACAGTTTAAGTAAACATTCATCTGCGATCCTCAACTGGCAGACAAGCAAATTTCCATCGACTCTAATAAATATGCATACTTCATAAATTTTTGTGTTGCAAACCTTAAAGAATTAGAAACATTTTTCAACGCAAAGGAATAAAATAAAAATATTGAAAAAATGAGAGCCATCCACACCTGAGCCAAAGTTGATTCCATGTGCCGACGCCTAAAAAGAAAAAAAAAAGAGGGAAAATGTTAAAGGCGAATGCGAACTTTCACTCAATTTATTCGAACTTTTCTCGCCTGCCTACGGATTTGCTTCCATTCTTTTTTTTTTCGTTTTTTTTTGCCTTCTTTTTGGTTAGCAAAAATCGAATCAACGATGGCACAGGGAGCAGTAGAAAATAAAAAAAATAAAAATATGTAAAGAAAAATGCGATAATTTAATCTGGTTTAAGCTGCGATAGCTCGATTCTCCCAGGAGAAGGCAGGCTTTCTAGCCGACTTTTGGTCGCGTCTAAGCAAATTAAAAACTTTTGCTCTCGGGTTTTCCTTCTTTTTTATTTTTTTGTATTTATTTTTTTTTTATTTCACCGAAGAGTTTGTCACGTCTTTTGGCAATTTTTTCCCTCCCCCGGTTGTGTGTATATTGTATATGCATAAATTGTGTTTATGCTAAAAAATCCAGTCGGCAATAAAGTAGGCCTTCAATTTTGCGCAATAAAACGAGAAAATGCGAAACAAATGCGGAGGAGCAGCTGACGGATCCAAAAAAAAACAGAGAGATCTTTCGGCTATTTGAAAGGTTGCAAGATGTCAATTGAAGTGGGGTTTCATTTTCATATGGAGTGCAAATGGTTGGGGATGGATATCTATGTATATGTACATGTACTGGCCATAAAAAGCTGGCATAAAGCAGACCCTGCCTAGAGATGGAAATCGAGAGACAGACGCGGCTTATAAATATGCGCGACTTTATGGCCTTTGGGAAGTGTTATGTGCGAATTTCCTTTCGCATTCGCATTTTCCTGGTTTCTGTTCTCTGCCTTCTTGGCCGAGCACCTGCCTTTCTCTCTTTTGCCGGAAAAGCTGGAAAATCGGCAAAGGAGCAGCTGGCATTGCTGATTAAAGTGCCAGTCGCACACTTGCACACCCACACACCAAATATATATATGTATCTACTATATAGAGCAGGCAGAACGCAGAACGCACAACGCACCGAGCAAAAGTCAAAACTCAAACTCAAACTCAAAACTTTTCTGTGTCGCCGCGTAGTGAAAAGCGGCCACGCCCACGTGAACCTCTCGAAAAGGGGGCGGGAGGCGCTAAGTAGCAGGTAAGTGCGGCAATAAAAATAAATGGCAATCGCGAGCCGCGCATCAAGTTTTTCGCACATTTTATTGGATCCACCACGAAAGGAAAGCAAAGGTGCACGTGCAGAAAAAAGGGGGATGAAACTAGCAACAAGTTATTGTAATCTAAAAAGTAAATTTATATTTAAACCAACAATTTATTTTATTTGAAAAAGTAAGCATTTTCCCAACTACCCACGTCAAATATAATTTCTACCTTATTTCTACTTTAAGCTCAATAAAATCAATCTTATTTTGAACTATTTTTAATATCACCTCAACTAGATGATATTAATGTCTATTTTCTCGCTGTGTGGCCATATACAGATGCATGAATTTAAACCTCAGTGGAAACCTAGCCATCGAGAGCTATTGACTGTGGAGCATGGCAACTCCAGGAAATAGAATAGTAATGTGAATTTAGAATAGAGAGAGATACAGATATCGGAGATACCCATAAGGAATAGTTCCAATTCCTTATAAAAATACATAGAAATCGATATTAAAACATGCAATTTTGTTATTAAATATGCGAGGAAAAACTCGGAGATACCCATGTTGAGAAATAGTTCAGGGAATAAGTGGTTTGATCCTTAATCGGAAAAATATGATATAATTACCAGCTTAAAAATTCATAGATTTTTTTTTTTTTAGCCACCTCGTTTCTTTTTTCTTACAAAAGAAATCGCTATTAAAAGCAGGCAATTTTGTTATTAAATATTCTATGAATAGTGACCAGAGCTCCGACGTGGGTAGTTGGAAAACGCAGGTTAGAGGCACTAAAAAATCCTCATGCGAGGAAAAATCGCCTGAAATATTCAGCGAAAGTGCGTTTCTTTTCTCAATGGCTCCCGGTTGATTGTACTTGAATATTTCATACAGGTGCACGCATTTCCTAGGCCCTCAATGCTAGTTTAATTTATTTCGATCTTTTATTTCGAGCCAAACCAAGCCACTTGCTTTTCACAACGGGCCAAGTCTTTTCTGTCTTTCCTGTCTGTCTGTCTGGTTGTCTGTCTGCCTGTCTGTGTGTCTGTATCCCAGGGAAACGTTGTTTGGCGCGCTTATAAATGCCATAAAAAAAGTCCATTACGGGCTAAATGTGTTTGCCGTATATATTTCGTTTGGTTTCGTTCCGTCGAGTGGGTTACGAGTTGCCAACTCCGGCGGCCATATGGGCAATAACCTTCCAACCCTCCAACCTCCGACCTTCCAACCTCCCAGACTTATTTGCATTGTAATGCGAGCCGCGAGCGGTGATCACTCATGGCAGGTGTCGACAGTTTGTTTTTGGACAGCTATACAGCCATACAGCCATGAAGTCCTGGAGTCCTGGAGTCCTTCGAGTGATGAGGACTTAATGTTTCCAACTGTTTTCCCCGCCTTGTTTTCGGCTTGTCGTCCTCCGCCGCGTAATGTGTTATGTTATGCGTTGCAATCCACGATTTGATTGCCCCCGATTATGGTCTCTGTTCAGGTTTTAGGGCGGCGGATTAAGGTTACTGGATTTGACATTCCGTCAAGGGCTACGCTTTTGCTGAATAATTGGTCATTACAAATGCATTTGGGCAACGTTATGATGGGCGGCACGGCAAGGAAAAAAGTGGGCATTCGTTGGATATATTGAAAATTCCACAGATTCCACAGTGATTAAATAAATGGTTCAAAAAATAAAGAAAAAAAAATGTATCGAGAAAAATAACCAAAAAAAATTAAACACATTGAAAAAGATACAAATATTAATTTCTTAAAATTTAAATCTCTCCTTGCGACAATTACTAAAACTTATAATAAAAAAGAAAAAAAAAAAAAAAAAAAAGAAAAAATAATTGCTTTTGGGTTATTCTTTAAAATTATTTAAAGATACCTATCGAAATATCAACAGAACTTAACATAAAACGGTAAGCAACTTTAAAGTCTTTAATTAGGTAACTTAATACTAATAAAATATCTTATTATAGTGAAAGCTATAATGGGTTTCTCTGTATGTTGTCTCCTTGTACTCCATCTGGTTATCCACTCGCCATCCCATCTGCGGTTATAATCTATCAATACGGTTGGCCATTCTTTGACACTAGAAGGTGGGGAGGAACCACCCATCGTTCAGGCTTTTAGCCAAGTGGAATCCATAAATTTGCTACCCACCAAGGCAGCCCGCATTTGAATTTGAATTTGCCACGCTAAATCTTCGTTACCGATGGTAAGATGGTGCACATCGGATCTAATAACCGACATATATCATGCCAGTAAATACTGGACATACTGCTTCCATTCAGGCATCTCATTTCGTTATGCAATCCCTCTCTATGGAACCCCCCCTTCCTCCCACCGACTCCCCTCCATTTAGAAGGCATCCTGACCGGAAAGACCGCGAGGACAACGGGAAAAGCAATAAACTTGTTTGTATTTGTATTGCACTTATGCGCTGATTGCTTTTCAGCGCAATTTGCTTTTAAGCGATTCCTAGTGAGGACTGTCGACCCACCACCCTCCTCCCCCCACCAACGCCCACCTGTTCATCCTCAAAACACCCCCTCCCCCTCCCTTTCATTTCCCATTTCGGTTAGTTAAGACGCAGCTCATCAGCGTTCTCCATTTTCCATTCCAGCCAGCTCATTACAAGACGAGCGCTGTTTTCAAGACAAGAAAGGAAAAGCGGAAAAACACAAACCATTGAGTCACCTTCTTCAACACACACACACACACACATGAGAACACTCACACTCATACACACGCACATTGACTCTTACATCCTGGCACTCAGCGCTGTTTGCCAACGCCTCCAACGCTTCGTAGTGCACACAATCCCATACATTCCATGTTAAGGTTCCCACACGATATCTCCAATCCACACTGCTGAAAATTGTAGTTAGTTCTCAAGGGTAAAATAAACCTATTTTAGTATTAAGTCTGGTCACACTATTGTAGTGGAGAAGTAGAGAGAAATCTACTAAAGTGTTCTAATCCTTCACTATATTTATTGCAAATTTAATAAGTACTTATGCAAAGCGAAACTTCTGAATCGCGATGTTCCTTTTTCCATTGCATACTTTTAGACACCATTTATAAGTGATATTTTACAAACAACTGGATGAACTATTATTTTCACCTGTCGATCAATTGGTGTGTTCTTTCTTATTTACCTTCTGATTGCTTAGCCAACCAGCTTCACTTAAGACTGTTGACTTTTCTCTCAGTGCAGGTGGA